CGAACTTTCACTGTATCAAGGTACCATCATCAGAACTGATACTGAGACATTACAATACCAGATACGAACTTTCACTGTATCAAGGTACCATCATCAGAACTGATACTGAGACATTACAATACCAGATACGAACTTTCACTGTATCAAGGTACCATCATCAGAACTGATACTGAGACACTACACTACCAGATACGATCTTTCACTGTATCAAATACATCATCAGAACTGATACTGAGACACTACACTACCAGATACGAACTTTCACTGTATCAAGGTACCATCATCAGAACTGATACTGAGACACTACACTACCAGATACGAACTTGTGTCATTTTATGGATTCAAAACAAGTTTCTTATTTTTTACAAAATAATTATATTTGTGAAAATTTAGATATATTTATCGAATCCATTTTTTAAGTGCAGTTGTTTTGTTGGTTATCGTAGAGAGAATCCACAGTGGGTTATTTGCTGTGTCCACCACAGAGGATTGAACCCCGGATTTTAGCGTTGTAAGTGCGTAAACTTTTTTTTTTTTAAGTGCGGAAGTTGTTTAAATAATAGTGTCACCAGTACCACTTGCAGAAATCTTCGGGCCCAGGATGAGTCTTTGGTTTGGGCCCCTTTCCACAAATATTTCAGTTCGAGGTTTTAATCAGACCCTTTACTTCAGAGTTCGCCACGGAGATTAAATTAGCAATTAATAATATTATTGTGTAGTTTGTGTTTTGAAAACGACTCCCTTTTCTGTAAAAACAAGAAGTTTAAGAAAATTAACCCTTTAAAGAAAAACAAAAAACATGGAGTCCATATTTTCATGCAACTGATGAATATTTTCGGGCTTATATTTTTAAAGATCTGTTCAGAGATGGCATTATAAATGTCAAATATAAATATACCACGAAATTATTTTACATACACAAATATGACCTACATTATACAACTATCGTGGTACAGTAAAACGATTTGTGTAGGCCCGGCATGGCCAGGTGGATAAGGCGCTCGACTCGCAATCTGAGGGTCGCGGGTTTGAATCCCCCTCACACCAAACATGCTCGCCCTTTCAGCCGTGGGGGCGTTATAATGTGACGGTCAATCCCACTATTCGTTGTTAAAAGAGTAACCCAAGAGTTGGCGGTGGGTGGTGATGACTAGCTGCCTTCCCTCTAGTCTTACACTGCTAAATTAGCCCTCGTGTAGCTTTGCGCGAAATTTAAAAACAAACAAACAATTTGTGTACACAGCGTATAATTATCTATATTACTAATACGTTATTTTGACATATGAAATCGCACTGCAACATATCGCATGGTTAAAATAGCTTTACTGGTGATATCGATTAGATGAATGGTTGTAAAATATGCATGCTCTTACATATTCAAGACAAGAAACGTAATGGTACAACGTGACAATTTTAAAACTGTATAGTTCATCAGTTCAACCTTATTTTTATTTCATCTGCTATGCACGTAACCCTGCACATTACATTTTTATTTTGTATTTCTAAGACAGAAC